AGCATAAATAAGAATAATTTAAATTTGGGGACTCATCTATCATTATTGAGAAGTCGACCAACCCTAGCTCTTCTCTTCTTATCAAATAGAGCTCTAGATTTCCTACCAAAGAAGGCTCTAATCTTCTTGCTAAAGAAGGACGGACCAACTACTATATAAAGAGTTCTTATTATAGAAAGATCAATCAAAGCAAAAAAGAAACTCTCCTCTTAGGAAGTTTCCAACTAAAGCTCATTTCTTATTTCTCTATTTCTATACTTATAATTATTTCCAATTTATTTTTTATTTTTCTTGTATATATTCAAACTTGTATAATCATTTTACAATCAATGAAATTCGACCCATTCTTTGAAGACTACTCTTCATATTACTTTTAACTTGGTATCAGAGCCATGACTTACAATACCTCCATTGCATCTAAAGCAATGAGCTCAAGCTCAACCCCTTCCCAAATTTCTTATCTACCCATGAGCATCAACTTAATTCCCAACATCTCTCATTATCTGACAATCAAGCTTAATGATGACGACTTTCTTCTCTACAAAGCTCAATTGCTTCTAGTACTTTGAGCTCACAAGTGAATTTTGAATCCAGAAAGAATGGCCAACTACTATACAAAGAGTTCTTACTATATAGAGATCAATCAAAGCAAAAAGGAAACTCTCTGGAAACTCTCTTCTTAGGAAGTTTCTTACTAAAGCTCCTTTCTTATTTCTCTATTTCTATACTTGTAACTATTTCCAATTTATTCTTTATTTTTCTTGTATATATTCAAACTTGTATAATCATTTTACAATCAATGAAATTCGACCCATTCTTTGAAGACTATTCTTCATATTACTTTTAACTTGGTATTAAAGCAATGACTTACAATACCTCCATTGCATTTGAAGCAATGATCTCAAGCTCAACCCCTTCCCAAATTTCTTATCTACCCATGAGCATAAGCTTAATTCCCAACATCTCTCATTATCTGACAATCAAGCTTAATGGTGACAATTTTCTTCTCTAGAAAGCTCAATTGCTTCCAATACTTTGAACTCACAAGTGAATTTTGAATCCAAACTTGTCAACCTGGGTGCAATTAGATCAGCTAGTCCTAAGCTGGCTTGTTGCCTCTCTAACTGAGAGAGTCCTGGCACAAGTTGTTGGTCTTTCTACAGGTGTCGAAGTCTAGACTACTTTGGAAAGATCTTCTCTTCTCATTCTCAATCCAGGGTACTACAAGGCACCAACTTCAGAACCTCAAGAAAAGAAATCTCTCCATCAGTGATTATGTCCAAAAAGCCAAAACCATCGCAGATAACCTTTCTACAATTTCAGAATTAGCAAAAGAAGATATGGTTCTATATATTCTATCTGGTTTGGGAAGTGAGTATGAATTTCTTATTACAGTCATCATCGAACTGATGCAAATTAGCTCAATATTAGTGATATTCTTGGGTTACTTTTGAGTCATGAATCTTGGCTTTGCAACATAATTTTTCCAGTGAAAGTCCTAATACGATTGTCACCATGAATAATAAAAATGTTACTAACAGTTTCCAGTCCTTTCAGAACTCATATAATCAAAACAAGGGTGACAATAATCATGGCAAAGGCAAGGGCATGGTGGTCAGCCCTCAAGCCATGGACAAGGTCATGGAAAATGAAATAGCATAACATGTCAACTTTATAACAAGCTAGGCCATGATGCACTAAAGTGTTACAAACAGTTCAATCTCTCATATCAAGGAGAAAGCAGCTCAAATCCAGTAGATCTTGTAGCTTTTCACAGTGGCCTGCCCCATAATGGCTCTATGTCTAGATCTGGATTTGATCCAATCTGATATTCAAATAGTGGTGTCACTCATCATATGACACCAGATTAGGGATGGCAATTTTCCCCATTCCCCCAATCCCTGTGAGGATTCACCCCGAATGGAGCAGGGATGGGGATGATTTTTCCCTCGTGGGGATGGGGATGGGGAAAGTTTCATCCTTGTTAGCGGGGACGGAGATTCCATTCCCACCCCATGGGGTCCCCAATCCCCATCTCACGGGGATCCCATTAATAAAATTACCAAATTACCCCTATATATAATACTTTTAGGCACTTTCCCTATAAACTATGTTTCAGTTTTTCTCATCGTCCCCAACCCCAAACGTCTAGTCGGTGCTGGAGTCTAGATATCTTTTTATATTCTACTATTTTTCCATTAAAATATTTTTTATTTAACATCATTGAACAGATTACAAGTATGATTTTTTTAATATTGTCCTTGTACTGCAAATTTTAGTTCTTTATTTTATATAGTTTTTATTGCTTTGACAACTTGTATGTGGCAATTCCTCAGGGTTTTTTATTTAAATCACCCAACTTGAATCTACTATCATTATTATTAATTTGTCTGCTTCTGCAACTACAAGTTTTGGTATATATAATTTTTTATTGTTTTGAAATTTGGATGGTGGCAATTCTCCCATCCAATTATTATTCCAATAGTGATGAGGGTGAGAAGACCAAAGACATTCTTGGTCACAAAACGGAAAGAGACTACCCGATTCAGACCTAAAAGACTGAGCTCATCGGAGAATTAGCCAGTAGAGTCTGCAACGATGATCCAAAAACACGGGACAAGGGGGAAAGGTTACTAGTTCTGATATATAATGTTTTGTCCTTTTCGATTAGGGATAAGTAGATTGTAATCAAAACACTTTCGATTATTGTTTTGACTTTTGAATCAAATCTTCACAAAGTAATCCACTGATATATTGTCTATTTAATTAAACTACGACCCATTAAAACTAAATCCCTGGTATATTGTCTACTTTGATTACCTTATTTTTTAGGTTGCCATGCTGCAAACTTAATCCCCACAATGTTAGATAGTATTTATATTTGTAATGAAACAATTAAATCATGCCATGTTAGCTTTGGAATTCTTTTTTTAAGATGAAATACTAATTGAACTCAATTGTAATTATCTTATTATTTATTGATTCTATTGTATTATCTATTTTTTAATCCTTTTAGAAAAAAATGAGTTCTACACAAGAAAGCCAGAGTCAAGATCTGAATCATCCTCCATTGAACTAGTTACCAACACCGGTTGATTCAAATCCAACTGGACCAACTTGTTCAAGGCCAACCATGGAGGAATTAGGTCATACATGGACATCGAGATCAATAGTATGGAAACATTTCAAGAAGCAAAGGGTTAAAGATAAATGGAAAGCAATGTGCATCTATTGTAATAAAAAGCTTGGAGGGGAAACAAAAAATGGGACCACACACTTGCATGACCACTTAAAAAGTTGCCCATACAAGAATCAAGTGAGTATAAAGCAATCATTTTTAAGATCTAAAAATATAGATGATGGGAAAGTTGCACTAGAAACCTATACTTTTGATCAAAACACTTCAAGAAGAGAACTTGCCAACATGATCATCTTACATGAGTACCCATTGTCAATGGTAAAACATCATGGGTTTCGGAGATTCACTAGTTCTCTACAACCATTGTTTAAGGTGGTTTCTTAGAATACAATCAAGAAGGATATCTTCGGCATTTATGATCATCAAAAATCTAAAACTATGAAATTATTAGAAAAAAATACAAGTAAAATTGCCATCACAACTGACATGTGGACTTCTAACAATCAAAAAAGGGGATTCATGGCTATCACGACACATTTTATTGAGTTATTGGGTGTTGCAAAGTCGGATTATAAGGTAACTTCTATTATGAATTAAATATTTTTTTATTAAATTTTTATTTACATTACTAGTTTTTTTTATTTTCCTTTAGAAAATACCATTAATGATTTATTTTGTTTTAAGCTAGTTTCTTTGTGAATAATGATTGTGAATTTATGATTATTTAAAATATTTTTTTTAGGTTTCTCTGTGTGCCTTATCCACATACTTCTAAGATACTTTGTAAGAATCTTTTTAATACTTTAATGGATTGGAACATTGATAAAAAGTTGTCCACTAATCACTATAACACTAGATAATTGTTCTACTAATGATGCATTGGTGAATATTTTGTTAGAAAAGCTTTCTAGTGATTCATTGTGGTTGGATGGGAAATTATTGCATATGTGGTGTTGTACTTGCATTTTAAATTTGATTGTAAAAGATGGTTTAGAGATGATTGGTGAGGGTATTGAAAGGATACATGATGGTGTTGTTTTTTGGTTAGCAACACCAAAAAGAAAAGAAAAATTTGACGAAATAGCTCATCAATTGAAAATCGCACTCACGAAGAAGTTGGTTCTTGATTGTAAGACTAGGTGCATTACAAGAAAAATGACCTTTAGCAACAGTCAAAAATTGTTTCCAATATAGAAAAAACTGTTGCCTAATGTTTTACTTACAACTGAACAAGTTTTTAGCAAAGCCGTTGTTAAAACTTTTTAGCAACAATCAATTGTTGTAGGATATACTACCCACAACAGTTAAACAAACTGTTGGCAACAATAGTATTTTACCACAACCAATTGAAACTGTTGCCAAAATTCTTCTTTCAGCAACAGTTAATAAAAGTCGTTGCCCATATAAATCTTTAGCAATAACTAATTAAATGTTGCTCAATGGTACCTTTGATGACAATCATACTAACTAATGTTAATTATAAATTTGCAACAGTTGAAAATTTGTCTCTAGATTACAGGCAACAATCAAGCAATTATTGCCCCAAAGTTTCATATACAACAATCATGTTAATTGTTGCCAATTTACAACCAGTAACAATTGGACAACTGTTTCTTATGCTTATTTATGGCATTGGTTTTTCCAAACTGTTGTTGAAATAGCAACAATCAAGCAATTGTTATATTAACTGTTGCCAATTATCATTTTAATTATTGCTATTTAATTTAATAAATTTTTGCAAATATTATAATAATGATTGTCAATCATCTAAATAAAATACATATGTAAAATGCCAATATGTGAGCCCATTGATGTAATAAAAGATAGAAATTGCATTCCAACTGTAATTTATATGCAACTATGTTAAAAATATATTACAATTTCCAAATTCATATCATATAAATAATACAATTAACAAAAAATTTCTTGATGGGCTAGCTCCTTTCTCTCTTCTATTTGAGAATGTAGGGACTTGGTCTGTCTTAAGAGTAAATGTACTGGCATCTCTCCCACATCCATTCTTGCCAAAAATCTTCACATTGAATATCAGATTTCCATCATATAGAAATAGTAAAAATTCATTATCCAGTATAGAGTGATCTACTAAAAAATCCTGCCAAATATATGCCACTTGAAGTCTGTCTTAATTTGACGAACCAACGATAACCACTACAATCCTCTAGGATTGCTCTTCCAATTGCTGTTTTCGAAATGTGCCTTGTAAAATTTGGAGGAATCCGCTGCAAAACAACAGAGAAAGAAAAAAAAGCTCGTCATTCAGTTTTAGTAAAGCATTTTCACAGTTTTAGTAAAGCACTATGACCCTCTATAGCTTCATGTTATTATGGCATTCAACAACTCAAGGCATTGTCAACAAATACATCACCATTTAGATACCTCAAGTCATTGAATATTAAAAGAAATTTCCTTACATGCACAGCTTGCATTTGTTGCAAATCTCTTTATAGATTCCATCTTCCAAGTCCAAGTAGAGATAAATTCAGGGAAGTGAAGGAGAAGATCGCACTCTTCACACAGGTGACTAAATTAAATATTGACCAGAAAACTAGAAAATAATTTTCAGAATCCTCAAATTGATTAGAATCAGGATCAGGAAAGTTGAAAAACGCCATAAGCATTTGCATTTAGTCATAGATCCATATTGAATAAAGAGAAAATGGTAAATGCCAGTTTATAATCAGAAAGACTTCATAAACCATTTGTGTCAAGCAAGGAACAAAAAGGTTAAGTACAAAAGCATTTCAGTGCAAACTTATTAATGCAGTTGTTCATTTACAAACGCACAATACAACCTTTTGTATCACCAAACTAGGCCATAGGATAGTAACCTAAAAACCAAACTAGGTAGGCATCAAGTTTCTTATTTTAGGCAATTTATAGCCCAGCCATAAGTTATGGAACCAATAATCACTGAAGTATTTTCTTTTGACAAGGTTGATTGATGCGAACAAGATAACATATCGCACATGCTGTAACAAAGAGACAAAAATGATTATGAAACCCATTACCATGGAAGAGCAGACAAACCTGAATAAGAACATCAGAGTCAGCAGCAGATGATACAAAAGTGACTGCAAGTCCCTTGCTCCCAAAACGACCAGCCCTACCAACCTGCAAAAAAAGGTTAGATTTCGATGGGCCAATCTAAGAGTGGCTACTTTGTACAACAAATGATTAGGACTGCAAAAAATGCGGATCAGATGTTGAGAGGATGGCATGTTGTGACAGGGTATCAGTCTAGAAACATAGAGGCATGTGGATCCCAAGAATGCCAGGCTAAAACTCAACTTTGATAGATGCAGCCTTGGCAACCTAGGGGCTTCTGGCATTGAAGGGGTAGTGAGAGATAGCAACAGCAACATAAACCTTATTTATTCAGGTCCAATTGGGCAGGACATAGATCTCAAAGTAGAAATGCTTGCACTTATTCAAGGGCTAAAGCTTATCTCTATGCATGGGTGGACTGACTTCGTGGTGGAAGGGGATTGTCAAACTGTGATAGGATGGATGCATCATTCAATCTGATGAGGATATTAGTCGGAGCTACAGGTCTTTGGTTTGACAGGCTCAAGCTTTGAGCTTTCAGTTGAACAGCTCATTCAAGTGGATTCCAAGGTCTGTAAATGACTTGGCTGATGCCTTGGCCAAATCAGGGGTTGTGAGTGATATTGGGGTACTCCTGGCCGGGGATGAATATGTAATTGCTTTTTTTCTTGTTTTTGTTCCATTGCTTTTCTTAGCCTTGTACTTCTTCCTTCTATTCTGAGGTAGGAAGGTTTTCTTCTCCTAATGAATCAGTTTTGCTGTTATTGATTAAAAAAAGTCTGCATATGAAATATATAGTTTAGCCATCTGTAAATATAACAACTGATCAACTAACCTTGATATCTACCTATGCCTTCTAGAATATTCTCATCACAAGCACTAAACTTGTTGTTTGGACCAAGAGGTGTATCAATAAGTTGGGCTCCTACGCCTTCTAGCCATCTGTTTTTGTTTCATTTTTTGGTTGATGAGTGATTTAGAAATGGTGGGCTTGCCTTGTTTGGACTTTATGTTAAGGTTTGAATACTGAAATTATGAAACCAATTAGAGTGCTCAGTGGGAGAAATCTTTCTCTATGAGACTGAGTCTATGATTATGTTAGTTTAAGCCCCCTGTTCAAAGTTCAATTTTATTTATTCATTTATTTGTCTCTGTGTAACTTGAGAAAACAAAAAAAAAAGATCCTAATCACCTTGAACATAAAAGGAGATGATTAGCAACTGTTGGACAGTGAACAGTTCACCAAGCTGACCTGTTCAATGGGTCACTAGAATCATTACCTGAAAGTAAAAAAAAAGGAAAGACCATAAAAAATGGTTGTTATGTGAATGTTTTGCCATTCTGCTCTGTTTAGTGCCATATCCATAAGATATTTGTTCTTATTAATAATGATAATTTATAGGGTGTACTTGGCTGAGATGGCCTGACAAGGAGCATCCTCTAGATGAGCTTGAACTACAATTTTCAGTCCATTGGTCTGGAAAGGATATATTTTAAGGATAATTAATTTAACAGGACAGGCATGTGATGTTAGGGCACAATAGACCAAGCCAAGGCCTCAAAAGTAATATTTATATCCAATCTATATCTAGCAATGTTCATGTTCTAATTAAACATTCTATGATATTTTTGTAAGTCGATAGATATCCTTTATATCTCTGAATATGCATCTTTAGTGGAAGAACTTCTATTCCTTTCGTAAACTTTTATATTTTTTTTAATTATCAATATATTATATACACACATCATTAAAACCACAGACAAAACTCAATCACTATAGATATGAGAACAAATAGTCAACTTGGTAATTTTTTTTACTTAAAGTTGTATTAGAAGCTAACCTTAGATTTGTTTATCCTGCTGAGTTTGAATCCTGCACCTGATCAAATCTGTTTATGTTAGTTTTACTTAAAAGTCATCTGATGACTTGCTATGTGATAAAAATTTTCATCCAATATATTTTAGTGCTTATAAATGAATGCTTTTGAGCATTTCTTGTTTCTGCAGACAGAAAGAGCATCCTCGGTTCCAGAATCAAGCTACAGTACCTAGAGCCTGAATTTACGGTGCTCATAATTTTAAGATATATTTTCTTGTTGGTCCTGCTTCAGGTATCATTTGTCTACTGGGTCATGATTGCTTTTAGGAGTGTACTGCTCTTTCTTGTTCAATGTGCGATGTGGTGACCTAATCGGGTTGTCTGCATCTTCATGGTTAAACTATCCAATCAGCTAATCTGTGCAATTTTTTTGGAACTACAGTTATCTTGAGCTGAATTCTGGCCTAGGCCAGACCGAACCCAATTAATCTAGATCTGGCTCAACTTGAATTAACCTCAGGCTCTGGCTGTTTTCTGTTTATAATTAATGAAAACTTGAGTTGTTAAAAAGCCCAAAAAAAAAACTCAGATTGACATGGACTGGCCTCCCCAAGTTGCAATCATGCTAGTAAACATGAATGTATCATGATGAGTCTAAGACATTAAATCTATTCCTGCTTTGGAAATTAACATACTTGGTGTCCAAAACCTATCCCAAGCACATTCTTATATATCCATAGCGTACAGTGTTTGTATCAAAACAAGAAGTCCAAGCCATACATAATCCAAGCCTATTAGAACTATATGGGTACAATCATGCAACTGCAAACATATGGGTATAATCATGCAACTGCAAACATATGGGTACAATCATTAGTTATTATGATTAAGCTAATGAACTGACCTTAATTATGACCTTAAGGACATCAGAACCGTGATTTATCACTGTCCTGGCAATTCAGAACTGAGAGTAAGATCGGTTGTCAGTTGGTCTGTAACTGCTTCAGTTTCTCTGCAACATGCTTCATTGATGGTCTCACAGAAAGTGCCTCCATTATGCAATTTGATGCCAGGCTTAACAGGCCTAATAGATTCTCCTTTGGCCCTGCTTCCCACAGCTCTGGTGAGAAAAGCTCAGAAGACAACCATATTAAATCCATTCCTGTACTCTGAGAATGATGGATCAAGAAACCTCTTCCAACATATATATTTATAGGAGATGATTTGAGAGAGAGAGAGAAGTAAGAGTCTTCTGAAGATGATTGAGAACCTTGAACAAGGAGAAGAATAATGGTATATTTATAGGAGATGATTTCAGGTCTGCAATGAACTAATTGACCAGGAAGTATATATTGAACTTGCTTTTCCCTTGGTTATAACCAACTTTTAATTGTTTAGTATATGTTTCATTAATATATTCATTAAGCTTATTTTAGCTTGTGCAAAATAAGACCTAATATCTTGTTTCTTGGTCGTCTAGGATGTGTAGAGACTGTCTTGTTAATTTCCAACATATATATTAACTGTTTATAACTCCAATTTTCATTGGTCGTGTGGCTCCCATTGAACGGGTCCAACCTAACAGATTGACTGGACAATTAGCTTGATCATGAGCTGTCTTTTTACTGTAGACTTGATTTCTTGGGAAAGATGGGTTGAGTAAATGTCGTTTTGATGAACAGGTTGTAACCTGCCGTATATATGAAATTCAGTCTTGACTTCCTGAATATATGAAACGTCAGAGTCTGATATATATAGTCACTATATATACAACAGACTCAACCCAGGAGTTTGTGAACATGCATGTTGGCAGACCTTGGAATCCATGCAACAGAATAGAACCTCCCAAAGTGTTTATTAGTGGTCTTGCTTCTTGAACTTGATGCCTCAACTGCCAGGTTCCCCTATAACCACTCTAAAATTACCTCTAAATCCTCTTCAATAATCAGATTTCTATAAACTGATCAATGAAATAATAATCAGTTACAATCCTGAAGAAATGAGTTTATAAGGATGAGGACATCAAAAGAAAAAATTTTATGGCTAAACCATAGTGGAATCAAATAGTTAGAAGAAAATCCTCTTCATCTGGTTGACATCATATGCAAATTACTAAATCTTGCATACATCGGCCCAGTCAACAACTCATTCATCAGAAACACCACATATTCTACCTTCTCCATCTATAGATCCACTGATGAAAGTATCCATCAGCATTTAGTCAAGTTTAAATAATCCAGTTGGCCCAACAAGGGAAATCTTCATATAAATATCAACAGAATCAAGAATTACCTTTCTCAGTGTGCCAATCAGGAGGAAGTTTCTCACCAGTGTTGCCACCACTCCCAAGTCCCAACACCGGCATGAAACCCAGGGAGTCTTTCTGCTCTTACAAAATCTCATTGTGAGCTTAGCTATGCAGAAGAATTGGTTGCACAGAATAAAGAGATGAAACAAAGATGATTTAAGACAAATAGGAGATGGAATTAATGTGTAGACTCGGAACTAATTTAGAAGTTAGCCAAACATATCATAATTCATAAATTCTAACCTTTATGAAAACAGAAAATCTAAGGCATCTAGAAGTTAGCCAAACCCATCAATGCTTGACTGATGAAAACAGAAATTAGACAGAAGCAAAATAAGCCTAATGAACAAGAAAAGTAAAATGTATCATTCAAAATTTCACCAGTTATGGGCAGAAGTCAAATGACACTCCAATGTTTAGTAGTGATTTCTAGAAAAGAAAGAATCTCAGGGCAATGTACTAATAGATCAAATTGATGCAGTTTCCATTACAAAGATTAATAACTAGTTGTTATCTAGGTATCTGTAATTTGAAAATATAGTGTTTAAGGATTGAGTTAAATTGAGTTTTCAGAATTGCAACTTGGGAAAATAGGATTCATTGCAGAAAAAGAAAATACATTCTGGTAAAAATAAGAAAATAAGATGAACTAAGAAATAGAAAGAACTAAATTAGGCATTGAGCCTCAGTGTGTGTTCGGTATCAGTATTGGACCTCCAAAGTGATTGGTATCAAAACTAAATTAGAAAGAACTAAAATGCAAAATTTTACTTTAAGGTTGATATTCTCATGTTTGTGGATCTTACATAAACTTCTTTCCCTTATTGAAATTCTCCTAAACATTCCCAACATTGTAACCCTGCCATAATAAAAGAATCCATAACTAACTATTTTTTCTTGATAATAGAAAAACAAAGTACTACATTATCAGCCTAGGTAGCTTCTGAAGATACAACCTTTATTCTAATTTCTAAACATACAATTGTTTCTTGAACTTATTGGACCAGCCAAACTAAATCCTAAAACTAATAAAACTTCTACCTTAAAATGCAAACAACCCATAAATATTATAATTACATCAATGAATAGCTATCAACATTGGTCACCTTTACAGAATCAGCTTTACAACTTTACATGAACTCTTCTTTACAACAGAATCAGCCTTTACAGAATTATTCCTACTAACAATTGCCCTAGTTGATAACCTACAAGGGGATCCATCATGTTTACCATACAGCCATCTGCACAATTATATGTGAAAATGCTATTTTCCCAGAACCAGAATTTTCAAATTTGATTTGTCATGAGAAAAATTAGATAATGGAACATAGTCAACCAAAAAAGTTGTAATTCCTATGTACCATCTGCTTAAAGATTGAAATTAAGTTAACTGAAAATGCTACTCCTGTGTACAACAGCTTTCGAAAATGAAATCCAATAGTCTACTAAACATTTGGTCGGTTAAAGCTGGCTATGATAACCAAATGAAATGATAATACCATTATGACAAGCAAAAAATAAATGAGACAACTACCTGTAATTGAAATAAACATTCAGAGGGTTTGCAGAACATACAATATACGCAAGTCCAGAATGTTTGATAACTCTGGTTCGATCTTTCCTGAAACAAACAAAAAAAGATAAACATTAAATTGGGCGAGAGAGAAAGGGATATCCTACATTGGGCGAGAGAGAAAGATAAAACATTACTTGAATGTCTTCCCCCTATCTAGCTTGCTCGACCATAGCCAATCTTGCTCGACCTAATGTTCCAATCATGACAAACAGGGAGATTTATAACCTAAATATGCAACCAAAAGCCAGTATGAGGGATTTCTAACCTCTACGGATATGGAAATTTTGGTTACCTCAGCGTCTTCACCCGATTTGACTTGTTCGACCACAATGCCCCCGTCTTGCTCGGCCTAAATCGTGACTTGTTCGACCACCACAACCTAAATCTATGAACCAGAAACGAGTGAGTAGGAGGAGAGATTAAAGTCGATCCTCTGATGGTGTTCTAATTCTAGCGGAAAACGAAGAGTGGGAGCAGAGATTAATTTGTAAGGGAGAGTTGAACTATTTGATGGTGTTTGATTGCAGTTGAAGAGGAAGAGTCGGAAGAGAGATGTAGGAAGGGAGAACTGGAATTGGCGCGTTATCATGGAGGGAAAAAGTATAAATTAAACACCATGGCATTCATGGCTGGAAGAGGGAAGTTTTTAATTATGTTTTCTAACAAAATATTAAGATTTATTAGTATGCTAATAAAAAATAGTAATGATCATTTTGATTGGTAACTAAAATGATTTGGGTTCTTGTCTTAGAAACTAAAATCTAATTATGGTTAGGGGTGAGAAAAAAAACCGAAAAACCAAATCAACTCAAACCGAACCGAAAAATTGGTTAGGTTTGGTTTCAGTTTTGGTGTTTTTTAAAAATTGAAGGTACTGGTTCGGTTTCGGTTAACCAATATAGAAAACCAACGGTTAACTGAACCGATCGGTATACATATATTTCTATTTATTTTATAAATATATAATTATGTACATTATATATTATATATATTTATGTATATTATATTATATATATTTTATATTTTTATATATTATAAATTAATAAATATGCATTATATATAAATATATATTATAAAAATTAAAAAACCAAAAAATTGATAAACTGAATCGACGGTTAACTAACTAGCTTTGGTTCAATTCCAATTACCAATTTTCCAAAAACCGGTAGTACTAGTTCGGTTCCAAAAATTGACCCAACCACTGTGAGCACCCAAATTATGGTTTCTTGTTTTTGCCTCTGGGTCGCAAGTCACTAGTTTGACCGATTAGGTCAAGCGGGTCAGATTGTATCAGTGTCTATATATAGTTTGCATACACAATTAGTATGTAACTTGCAACCCAGTAAATGGATCAATTGATTCAACGAACCAACTATTTGATTTGGTACATTTTTATCAATCCAATGGGTTTTGGCCCAGGTTTCACTCAAACTAGACCTAGAATCTTGACTATGTAACTGTTTGAATGGTTCAACCAACTGAATTAACAACGGGTTGAAAACATTGCTTTGTGCTCAGATATCTAATTGAGATGATCTTTATTTTTTATTTTGCGTAACTTTTTGAGATCTATATGGTGCCTTGCCCCACTATTTTTACAAAATAAAACCTTTTTTTGGCCCTAAATCACAATTTTTATAATTTTTATAAATAAAAAGATTAAAAATAAATTAAGAATATAAATTAAATATACATATATTACATCTAAAAAATTTTAACCCATCTGACCCAAACGATCAAACTAGTGACCCTTGGCCTAGAGGCAAAAATAGTCTAACCTTCCAGGGGATGCAAATGGTTCAAATCATGATCTGATTTGATTCGAGCTAAATCCAATATATCCTATTTTGTTAGATTCCGACCTCCACACTTCAGATATTCGGATTAGATTGAATAGAAAATAGGATCGGATTTCGATCACCCCTATCCAATCGATATGTCATTTATTTATTTATATAAATATATATAACACATACATATGTTATTTATTTATTTATAAATATATTATTTATATTGAATTTTTGTAAATTTGTTATATTATTTATTTTTTATAAAAAGCATGCATATAAATGATGGAAATAGTTGAAATATACTTGCATTTTTTATTTTGCTTTACTTAAATTGTTATATTTATTTTATTTTAATAAATTATTAAGTTTTGAAAAAAATAAATAAGATCGGATCAGATCCCAAATATCTAATGTCTTGCCTCTAGGTGGTACATTTGTTTGATTATTTGGGTCAAACATGTCAATTACATGTATACATATAAAGTTTAATTTTTGTTTAGCTTATATTTATATTTTAATTTTAATTGCTTATTTAGACAAAAAAATTCTAAATATTAGGATCTAAGTTCAATTTAGTGTGTAATTTTTGACCCAAGGACCATGATTGGTTAATGATATCGGTTCATTGATGGTTACCAGTTAAAAACCAAACAAATGTTGTGACCCAAGGACCATGATTGGTCTAACCTATTCGACCCAAGACTAGTTAAGTTTGTTATCATACTTGAACTCCAAAAATAGAAATAAAACGTTAAAACTCAAAAGAATTGAGTTTTCTTCCCATTTTTTCATTTTTCTATATTTATAACATCTCAATCATTATATTTAAGTATTTAATATAATTGTTACATGTTTTCTTCAATTTTTATATTGTATTATCTTATTTAATAATTTTTTGTATATTATTATTTTAAATTTTGATTAATTAATTACTTGGTTGTCCAGTAATCAAACCATTGTAATTAATTCAAGCTCGACTCATTAAAATAAATTTTTGTTATTTATTCCATTTGTTGATGTATTAAATATGTTTATAACTACAATGTTCAATGATTGTTGCTAAAGATTTAATGGCATTATTCACATTAGTTTCCAATTCACTAATTTAACAATTGGATATTCAATAAGTAAACAATCGTAAGCTTTGTTTTCATTTCATTGCTTTAGCAAAAGTTAAAAATAAAATGAGCAACAATTAGCTAACCTTTGTTGCCAATTCATTTGATTTAGCAAAGATGTTGATCAATTGTTGTTAATGTTTATTTTCGGCAACAACCATTTACAACTGTAATGAAGTCCTTGTTGCCAAAGTAGTGGTGGAATTCCACCTATTTGATACTTCATGTTGCTATAGGCTATAAGGATTTTTTTTCTCGTTGAAAGCAACGATATCCATTATACAAATGTGTGCCATTTGAGAGTAATTGGAAAATGGCAAAAGAATTTTGTAAGTTGAAATTGTTTTATAATGTGACTGAGTTGTTTTCTAAAACCAAATATCCTATAACTAATTTTTATTTTCCTAAAATTTGTGAGATTAAATTAGCATTGAGGCGGTGGCTTAATTGTGGGCATGATGGCATAAAATTAATGGCATCAAAAATGGCATCCAAGCTTGACAAGTATTGGTGTGAAATTCATAGTATTATGACTATAGCTATTGTCTTAAATCCTAGGTACAAGTTGACATTATTGGAATATTAATATAAACTTATTTATGGACATACTACATATTTGGATGAAATTAGAAAAGTCCAAAAAAATTTGTGTTGACTCGGTTACTCAGTATCAATCAAATTCTAGAGTGGAAGCTATGAGTTCGAATCTTCAATGGTTATGACTTCTAAATTAGGGATTGCTACTATTGATGAGTTGGATCGCATGTGTGATTATGACTTGTATGTGGCTTCAAAGAGTAATGTTGCATATGTTAAGTCCGAGTTAGATCATTATTTGGAAGAACCTGTTATACCTAAAATGGTTGATTTTAACATAGTGGAGTGGTGAAAAATAACTGGGATTAAGTATCCTACTTTGAAATTGATTGCTAGAGATGTCTTGGCTATTCCTGTACCCACTGTGGCTTCAGAATCTTCTTTTAGTAGTAATGGAAGATTTATTAACCCATATCATAACAGGCTTCATCCCGATACATTAGAGGCATTAATGTGTGCACAAGATTGATTATGGGCTGAAATACAAGGTATTTAAAGTATTTTATTATAATTATTCAAAAAATTTATATATTTTATAGAATGCATGGATAATTAAATTGAATTGTTTTTTATCATATTCTTGTTCGGCTACTCATTTGGGATGTTACACTTTTCAAAGATATGGATATAAATGAGGTATATTAAAATTTGTGTTTTCTATGCTATCTTTATTTTTTCGTCACCTCTCTTTAAGTATATTAAATTTAATTAATAATAATTAAACAAAATGTATGATTTTATAATATTGTAGGACAAAGAATCATGTTGCGATAATGCTTCAAGTTGAAAGGTAGTTTTTGAAGAAAATAATATTACATGGAGATGTTAAGCACTTGAATTGATTAGTTTCGCATGGCTAATTAAAAGTATGCTTTTATATGTCTTGAGACTTCGAGTAAATGTGTTTATTTCTTAATTAGTTGATTAGTTTTGCATGGATTAATTGTTTCTTTTGACATTTAAATATTTATACATTTAATTTTTTTTTCAAATTATTGTTATTTTGTTTGAGTTTAAGACGAATTTAATATTGGAACATGAATTCCTTTCTTTTCCATGTAGACTCCGACTCCTGTATTTGAAAGTTATTGATAGACCCACAATTCCTTGAAACTTTCTAGTTCATATTTGGTGGTCCTCTCCTATTAAAGATAATCAAATTCTGATTTGAAGAATCCTTTTAATATGCCAAAATATGCCAAAAGTTTAAGGTTTGAAAGTTATTGACCAAAACTCGTGTCATGCTTTTAATGTAGGAGGGAGCAAGAATCCTTTTAATATGCCAATATATGTTTATGAGAAAAAATTCAGTCGGCTAAATTTAAGGTTTGGCGTGTTTTTGGAAAAAAAAATCCAAACGATCTTGATTGCATTGTTGTCAATGAGTAATTTGACCATAATAGTTAAATGATGTAATTTACTTTGACCTTAGTAGGTTATATATAAGAGGATTGGCAGGGTGTGGGGACCCTACGGGGATGGGGATCCTCGTAGGTACTGGGACGGGGATAGTCTTGTCCCCGTTAGCAGGGACGGGGATAGGTTTTTTCTCAGGGATGAAGATGGGGAGTGGTTCCCTATCCTCGCCCTGCCCCGTTGCAATTCTTACACCAGATGTTGACAACTTGCAAGCTCAAACTGAATACCAAGGTTCTGATCAAGTCAAGGTTAGTAATGGCACATGTTTGACTATGAATAATACATGGTCGACTTCTTTAATTTTCAATGATAATCATTTTGCTTTGAAGAATATTTTTTATATTATTTCTTTATTAAGAATTTGCTCTTTATAAGTAAATTTACGAAGAATAATAATCTGACTGATTTTTGAATTTCATCTGAATTTCTTTGTTTTGAAAGATTATACGGGGAGAGTTTTACTTTGAGGACCCAGTAGAGATATACTATATCAATTTCTTGGAGCAGTTCAGCACAAGACAAAAAACTTGGAAGCTTTTGTTGGCAAGAAAACATCCTTGGCAAAGTAGCATTAATGACTTGGCCATGCTTCCCTAAGAGTTGTGAAAAACATTAATTTTAAATTTGGTTTACCTTATTCTAAATCTCTTAATTGTCTTTTTGTGTGTGAA